AAAAAGTACAAATTATCACATGTATTGGTAGAGAGTGTAAAGAGAAGGAATGTAAAATATAGTCAGAAAATAGAAAGATAAGAACCCATTGAAAACTCCTATCTCTATTTCTTAGAGATAGAAAATGACTATAGATAGTATTCTAGTAAACATGAATTTCAAGTACTATAAGCTTGATACATTAGCAGATTATTTTAAAAGGGAGTAAAGGTATTTCTGGAAATTTTTATTGTCATTTATTTATATTGGCAGTTCAATGACCCTAATTTTCAAAACAACCACTTTTTTTTTTTTCACCTTTAAATTTCTGACCAATATTAAATGTGTGTTCTCCTGGGAAAACAGTATTCAATCTCTAAAAATTTTAGTAATTCCTCACTTGTTAGAATTACAAGTATCTATTCCTGAAACTGACACTAAAAATTTATCTCAGATTTTCTCTGCAACACTTACAGTATCCTTGCAACACACAACAGTGCACAGAATTAAGTATTGTTTAAAAATACCAGGTTTTGATTTCTTTATAAGTACTTTATAAATTATTGTTCATGTATAGATCTCTCTAGCCCCATCTTCTCAGATTAATTCAAGGGAAAATTCTAGACTTTGACTCCAATGAAAACACTATAAAAAGCCACGTCTGGGCACTAATTTTATTCCTATGACAAAATCTCTAAGATGAGTAGGAAAAAGAAATGCTTATAAGCACTGAACACAATAACCAAATGTAATTTTTTTATATGTTCAATACATACTTCATTGTTCTCTCATTATTTCTCACATTAAATCTCATGTTTCAAAAAATCAGTTTAAGAACAATTGACTTAGATCTAATTGTTGTCACAGTATTTCAGCTTTTAAATAGTTAGAAATAAATATTTTAGAATAATAGTTGAACAGATTGTATTTCTTTCCTAGGCTTGGATATATTTTCTTCCTATATATCTAGCTCTGATTGCTGTATTAAAATGATGCTATATACAATGCTTACTAATGGAAATATATGTCCACAGATTATGAAGCATAGTGTAAAAATGTTGGTTATTTAAAATTAGAACTTTATGTTTCTGGTCTCATGTGACTTTGGGTAAATCATTTATCTTCTTGGAAGTCTGTTTCCTCATATGCAGATGAGGAATATAATACTTAATGTACAGGATGGACATGAGCATTAAAATAAATGTGGAAAGAATAAATTGTTATGCCAAATATTATTTCATCTAAGTTCTTCAGTTCAAGAATTACTATTCTTTCTAGAAATTATGTCATTTTAATGCACTTTTCCCCTATTGTTTTACATACTTTTAAAAATTTTCATTTAATTATTTATCCAGAAGAAAAATACAAGCAATCTTATTTTGAGATGAAGGATCTATATCAATGTTATTGCTTTATCCAATAATGTGATTTAAAAATTGCACCAACATCACAGCAAATCTACAATCTGGAAAAGTTTCTTTCCATCATCTTTCAATCACATGAGCACTCATGCACACATGCATACATGCATGCATACACACACTGATATGTAACTGCAGGTTAAAGTTTTAATATAACAAAGCATATAAAAATTCTATTTCCAAAGGAAATGTAACAACATTCCCAAGGACAGAAATAATATAAACATCTAGTCATTTACCAAATATATAAATGGGTGACAGAACTAAAACTAAGTTTTGAGACTGAATATTAGAAAACATTTTTGACATGTAGTACAATTTTCTTTAATAATTTCACCATGAAAATATAAAAAGAAAAAAATAATAAAAGTTGGTTATATGTTCATAAAACTTTTTATTAAGTCTTTTGTTTTAGAAGTTTTAGAGTTACAGAAAAATTTCCAAAAGTGGTCCTATATATACCATATATGTAGGTCACCTGTCACAATTAATGAACCGATATTAATTCATTGTCCATACTTTAGATTTCCTTTCCTAATGTTCTTTTCTATCCCAGAATCCCATTCAGTACTCCATATTACTGATACCTTTAGTTGTCATGTCTCTTTAGACTCCTCTTGGCTTGACAGATTCTCAAGCGTTCCTTGGTTTTGCATGACCTTGCCAGTTTTGAGGAGTACTGGTCTGCTATTTTGTCAAATGTCCCTCTGTTGGGATTTGTCTGATTTTATCATGACTAGACAGAGTTTTTTAGGTTTTGGGGGGCACTCCTCAGAGGTAAAGTGCCATTCTTACCACATGACATCAAAGGTATATGCCATCATCATGACTTCTTAGATGTAATAGTCTCTCAACGTTTACGCTTCCCTTATGCTTACCCTTCTCTGTTAATATTAACCTTGACTTGATTGCCTGGCTGAGGTAATGTCTGTTAGGTTTTTCCACTGCAAAGTAAGACTTTTTTTTAAGAAGTTATATTGGATATAAACTTATTGGACGTTTACACTGGGTTTAAAAAAATTCTAAACATATTCCTTAACATTAAGTTCCTAATTTGCTAATTACTAACATTAAATGATTACTAACAAATACTATGAAGAAAATCCAATGAACTGAAAAGTGATATGTGTAGCTAAAACTCAAAAAAAGTATTAGCTTTAATACTCAATTCTTTTCCCTTGAACCACCTGTATAATTACCTTAATCCCTTACATAGATGGGCATTTAAAATCTTCGACTTACTAATTGTCGTTAAGAAGTCATTTAAATTGATAACCCTTTTGCTCAGTGCTTTTCTACATTGCCCTCCATTGAACAACGAATACTGAAGATGATGTAGAAGACTTGATATTGCCCCTCATTGCTCTAAATTACTTGTCATAAATACAATGTTTCTTGTACATGATTTTAAGATGGCTGCTAAATATTTTTAAAATTCAATGTGTTTGATTCTGTAAAATTTTTATAGGATATGTCATTTTTTACTACTATTGTCATCATACTTAATAACATATATATCCACATTTTGGACTTCTTCAATATTTACCAGTGGACTATAAAGTTTTGAATGCATGTATACAATTTAAAGCCACCACCCTTGGTTATTTTGCAATACCAAAATAAATGTAGTAATCATACATTGAGTAGATAACCCAGATTATTTTTTCCTCCAATTTAAATTGTCCTAGGTTTTTTATTCCTGCTTCTTTTAAATCTATTTTATCATTTTACTGGTGTACAGTAGTAACAGACTTTCTGAAAATGCTAGAATATCTGTCATGTAATAGAATTTGAGCATGAAAATAATGTAAGAAAACTCAGAAGTCACAAACTAAGTAAATTTGAGTTTTCAAAGTATATCGGACTTTAGCTGTTTTCATTTGACTATATTGTCAAAATCTATGAATATTATTGTAAAATGCATATGCATTACACTGACTTTCATAAAATGTTTTGAATTAATAAAGAATTCACCAACATATCCTTAGGTAAGTTACTGTTTCCTCATGGGTGTACAACTATAGAAATAAAAGGTACATTTATATCTGTTAATCTGGTTGTGCATTGAGGGAAAATAATACATTCTGGCTAGATTCTTCACAATGTTCTATAAACTTATTGCCTATTACAATTTTGCCCATTTTATAAATAAAATACATATAATCTTGAAACGACTTATATTTTGAGAATTCAGCTGAGAAATGTATTGTGCTGAGTTTGAATGACTCCCACCATTTCTATTTTTTTAAGTTGAGTTTAGACTTGGGAAATAGCGTTTCCAATAAATATATAAACAGCCTAAACAGTCCTGTTCCATACTCAGAATAAAAAATGAGTTTCAACCCACTATCTTAGAACAAAGCAGTGTTATAAAGTAATATGGCTTGAATACACCAAGTAAAATTTAAAATCGAGATAGTTAAGTTGAAGCTCCTCGGGAGCCAAAAGTGTTTTGCTTTCGATTATTTGGAGTCATTTCATCCTTTCACTTCACTTGGCATTTCTCTGTGGTGCTAAACGATAACAGAGGCAATGCAAAATCATTTTCTAAGAATTGTATACGTTTTAAATACTTCAGATGAGATGACATAAAGATATTTTAAACTTGTTAAGAGCTCTCATTTTTTACCACCGGGTTAAAAAATAATAAATTAGATGCACTTTCAGTTACATAATCTCTTGGTACTGTGAAACACCTTTCTTTGTAGAGGCTGCTACCCAAAGCAGTTAGGTAGTGGGAGTTCCCCACTGAGCAGCATTTAGCCTTGAACTCCCAGGACCGTCTTGATTCCCTCATACCCATTTCTCTGGTGGACTGTTAATATGTCTTTTGAATACTAAAAAGCATTATGCCAATAAAGTTCAGTATTCTTGGCACCTATCTGCTATATCTGATTTTTGGGAAAGGGTGGGGCAGGGAGTGTCCCCCGAGGTTGGGCTCAGAAGACTTCTGTTGTGTAGAATGTCATAACACGGATTCACTGGACATCTTTAAAAAGTAGCTGAGGATAAGTAGAGTTAAGTGAGAATGAACGAGCAGGTGACGAAGCAAGTAGTTTTGACAGCAGAGGCGGAAATGTAGATTTTTGCCACCAATCTTTTCACGTCCTTAACACAAACTCGACTCACCGTCGAGAAAAGAAACAGGCGGGGGGGGTGAAAAAATAAGGGGGGGAGAACAAAACACGCACACCGCAGATCATCCTAAAATTCGCTCTTTTAGACTAATGGCCAGGCTGGCACGGGGTCAGACGACTAGACCGTCCTCCACTGCGGTTCTTGAAGCCCCCATCAATGCTAGGGAAGCCAAATCTCGCCCTCAGACACGAAGCAGAAACCTGCTACCTACCCCTTCCGGCCCGGCGCGGCGTCAGGGCACGTACGCCAAGGCATTTCCAACCCTGTGTTTGGAGGCGGTGTCAAGGTCGCCCCACCTACCCCCTAGGGTTCTCCGCTCTGCCCTTCCGCATCACCTCTGGCCGCCTCTAATTTCGCTGCATTTCCACCCTTGGCCGGAAGTTCCCACGGAGCCTTCTGGGAGGCCCTTTAAAACCCAGGAGCGCTTTGGGCGGGGCTTAGCCAGCTCTCGTCGGGTTTCCAGGATCCATGTGGTGTCGCGAGACCTGCTTTACCCCCGAGCTTCCGGTTCCCAGGCTCGGCGTTTTCTGCCTTGCGATGCGGGCTAGACTTCTGTGGGGCGCAGCTCGATGTCTTTGGGCCCGCCAGGCTGTTGGCCCGGCCCGCAGGCCTATAAGCTATGGGAGCACGCCGCTGGAGGAGCTGTTCACTCGCGGCGGGCCTTTGCGGACCTTTCTGGAGCGCCAGGTAGGGTCTGAAACCCACCTGCGGGTCGGGGGGCCTGAGTTAGCGGAAGTGGCCAAACTGCTCGGCGAGAAGGAGCAGGAGCTGCAGGAGACTGAGCACTTGCTGCACGGTAAGGGATGGCCTAGAGGAATTGGCCCTGGCTTTGTGGTTAAACTAGGCCGCTGATCACATGTCCACACTCTGCCTGAGTCTGATGATCTTTTTTAAAAAATATTTATTTTATTTAAGTTTATTTATTCATGTATTTATTTAAATTTGGACAGAGAGAGACAGAGAGAGGGAAAGTGACAAATCAGGCTGCCAAGTCCGGGACTTGAACCATGGTCAGCCATGTGGGAGTCCTTCACCCTTTAAACCCCACGCCACCTGCCAGCCCCTCTGATGATCTTTTCTTAGATACACTCGTTTTTGTGTCGATCGGAGATCAGGACATCTCAGTGTGCGTTGAGATCCCATCTTACTACAGTTAGCGTTCAGGTGTTTCCTTGCCACAGCGCTCCGCCCCTTTTACAGAACTTAAGTTGATGTGCATTGGTTGCGGAATCCCGCCGCTGAAGATAATGAGCTCACTAGGGACCAGTAAGGCACTGATCTTGGGACGGGCTGCAGAGCTACGTTTCTTTAAGTATGGTATGGAAATGTTCTGCAGTTTTAAAACCAGTCTTCTGACTCAGTTTAACACCTCGGAATATGCACATTAGCAAGTTTTCCAGGTAATGCGTGCATTCGAATCTGGAACAGGGCCCAAGTTTCTGCAGTACTGTAAGCGTCCAGGGATGCTTAGCAGGACTTTAGAAAAGAACGTGGAAAATGCTTATGAAAAAACTGCATGTCTTTTCAGCGTTTTGTTCCAAAGTAAGCATATATTAATTGCCAGAGGGCACATGCAAAGGCAAGAGAGATCAGAGACATAAAGGGAAAGCATCCGTCCATGGGGTGAGGTCTCTGGCAATCCCTTCTTCAGTATTAGAGCCTGTTGGGATTTTGGACACAGGCATCCAGTGTGTCTTTTAAGCCTTTGGGGCAGGGATCCAACTAGTCTATTGTGTGGGATCTGACTCCGTTAATCTCTATGCTATGGGACTGGTTCTAAACTTGTTATGTAATTACATTTTTCATCATTATTATTATTTGCCATAGGGTGTGTGCACTTGCCAGAGAAAGACAGAGAGAGGGAAAGTGAGAAATCACCCCCCAGGAGGGATGGCTATACTGCAATCTCTTCTCCATTCTCCTCTCAGGATTTTGGACACTCAGGCACATATGTCCGGCGTGATTTTCAAGCCTCCAGGTCTGAGACTGTTCATGTAGGAGTCCAGTGCCTTAACATCACCTGCTGGTTCCCATCTTTTTGAAATCCCTTCCTACATGTGTGAATAAAAACCTAGGAGAGCAAGAACTTTTGGGAAGGCCTTACAGAGGTGAAAAGGCCCAATCTTAGAAAATATAACAAAAGTTTAATCTATCGATCCTTTAGCATGCTCCATGCTTTGCTTATCTATCTTCACTAGATCATCCAATTCAATAACTCTGCTCAATTACACAGGATTGGGGTTGTGATTGGACTGACTCAAAATCTAATGCCCTTATCACTGTACTCTTTGTTAATCAAGAACAAAAATCATGAGTAGTGGCCGATTGGAAAAGTGTTGTAAGCTAAGTCAAACGCTAATCGAAGATAATGATTTTATCCTGCTGGCAGAGGAGAACAAGCAGAATCCTTTAGATTGGGGAGTGAGTGACAGAATTACCTTTGCATTGAGGAAGATTGATTTGTTCCAGATTAGAAGTCAAACTGGAATAGGGCCAGCCGAGAAAATTTGTAATAGCTATATAATCTCCCCTTCCATTCTTTCTGTAATTTGCATATTGCCTACAGGGTAGAGGAATTAGTATGTTTTGTAAAGTAAAAATGAGACTTCAAAGATCAAACAGTAGGGCAGGCTCCATGTTATAGTGATAGTGCACTGCTCAAGAGAAGCTGGATCCCACATGGCATCCACAGTTTGAATCCCTAGTCAGCCAGTCTGAAACGCCTGGCACATACTTAAGTGCCCAAGATCTGGTGGACTGATGAAAGGGATTATGGAGTGATCAGACCCTGTGGAGGGTGCTCCTCTCTCTCTCTCTTGCTCTCCCCCCGCCCCCCCATGCTCAGTGTGCACATGCAGCAGTTATTAATTTAAGTCATTAAAAGTTTGTTTTTTTTTTTAAGGTGAAACAATAGGGCTAATAAAGCCAGAGACAAGAATACTTCATGTAAACATTCTGTAAACATTAGGTAGCGTCAGAAAAATATCTTGGGGGCAATATTTATTTTATCCTAATGAAATACTTAGTAGCAAGCTGGTAACTTTGTTCTGTTTTCCTAATTACCAGATGCACATACACACATGACAGAGAGACTGCATTTGAACTGCAGTCAGCCATGTGGGATCCAGCTCCCTTAACTGCTAAGCTATAGGGCTAGCCCAACTTTCAGCTTTTCAGTTCAGTCTGAGTTGAACTGATGACACCTTCTGTTTTCCTTCTGGTATTTCTATCTAGCTAAATGTATTCATTTGGTATGGTGTAGTCTGGATCAGAAAGCTGAATACTTATTTGTTAATCTGAATAGCTCATGGAGGTGAAATTATAGAAAAATGTAACTCATTTTCTGTAGAGACTTTCAGATGTCATTAGCAAAATGTTTTTTTAACAGCTATATGTTAATGAAAATTATAAAATAATACTTTTAATAAATGACTACTTTTTTGGCCAGAGGACACATGCATCCACCAGAGTGAGGGAGAAAGAGAGACAGCACCTCCCAGTGTGGCATCACCCATCATCCTTTTCCCATTTTTTCACCCTTTCAGGATTTTGGGCACACATGCGCGTACGTGCCCAGCAGGCTTTATAAGCCACAGGGCCCAGCCATGTGGGGTCTGGCTTCCTTGCACTACACTTAAGTACTGTGCTATGGGGCAGTTTTTAAAAGGACATATTAGACATTATAATTTTTTCCTCTAGCTACAATAACAGTAAAGTTTACTTTGAAGTAGGCTGGCAACTTAACACTAAGGAAAATTTTTCTCTTAGATGAGAATGAAGATTTAAGAAAACTCGCACAGAATGAAGTAACTTTGTGTCAAAAAGAAATAACTCAGTTGAAGCACCAGGTATGTTCTCTGTGCTATTATCATTATTCACTTTATTAGACGCTTATAAAAATATTCAAGAAGTATCTAGCTTGTTACTATCTAAAATAAACTTGTTTTTTAAATTTTTTCAAGCTTTACTGAGGTATAATTGACAAATATTTAAGGTGTTTGATGTCATGTTCCACATTGTTTAATGATTGCCACTATGATTTTTCTTTTTTCTTTTTCTTTCTTTTTTTTTAGAGGTTTTTGCTTTAGGGTGCATACGGTGGCTGAAGAGAGACAGAGACAGAGAGAGGAAAATGAGAAATCATCCTCCATGGGTGATGGCCATGCCACAGTCCCTTCTCCATTTTCCTCTCAGGATCTTGGGTACACATGTATATGGGCCCAGCCTGAGTTTCAAGCCACTGAGTCTGAGGCTGCAACTGCAATCAGGCATATGGGAATCTGGTGATGTAACCAGCACTACCATTATTTTTTTTTCTTTTTTTAGAGGCTTTTGCTATAGGGCGCATGCACTCACCAGACAGACAGACAGACAGACAGAAAGTGAGAAATCATCCCCCTGGGGGGGATGGCCACACCGCAATCCCTTCTCCATTCTACCATCAGGATCTTGAGCACGAACACACACGTACCTGGAGTGAGTTTTAAGCCACTGGGTCCGGGATGCGAACCGCGTTGACTACGTGGGAGTCCAGCAACATAGCCATTACGCTAACTGCCGGTTCCCCCAGCACTACCATTTTTAAAGCAGGAAAAGATACACAGTATTTCATGCGGTCCTATTCTTATTAAAGGGATTGTGCAGCTCTCACAGAAAGATAAGCATAATATTAGTAGCATTTTCTAGAAAGGCAAAATTGACATATTTCTTTCTTGTTTTCTTCTAAGGGAGCAGACAATGGGTAGAAGAGGTTAACAGACTGTACTCTTTGGGGACACAGATTTTTTTATCTTTATGTCTCTGGCCCTATTACAGTATCAAATAGGCTTATACTCTCAGGATTTTAAGAGCTGAACCACTTTGCCTTGGTTTTGTTTCCAGGAGACCTACAGAACATAAAAGAGCTAGGTAGAGAATAATCAATCTATGATTAGAACCAACTTTGTTCTTTGTTAATTCGGCAAAGCACAGCTTAAAGGTTGACAGCACTTATCACTGCGATTAATAAGTGAAAGATTTTAGAGATTCTAGCTATTTGCCAAATGTGAAACTTATTAAAAATGAATGGGGGTACCGCCAGTGGTATGGTGGTTAAGGTGGCTGGCTCCCAGAGGAGCCAGTAGCACAGCTCTGTCCCTTTCTCCAGTGGGTGCACGCACCCTGTGACAAAATTAAAAAAAAAAAAATTAATGTCTTTACCACTTATTTTAGAGGAAAAGTTCCATTACAAGGTAAAAGGTCTAGCGTAACTTACCTTCTACCCATTTTCTAAATATTGTGTGAATTAGAAGGACACACATATTAAAGGTTTCTGTTCAACAGTTGGGATTTTATTACTTCAAGATTGGGAGATCAGCTGTGTGCCATAGGCGAGAAAAGACGGAGAAGTATTAACAAGTATTAACTAGGGACCAGTGTAAGGTGTGATAATCAGGGACGCTTGAGTTCAGTTCTAGCTCTTCTACTTTCAAGTTACCTGACATTGGGTAACTAGATTACTCAGCCTCTCTCAACTTAGGTTCACATCTTAAGGTAAAGTTGTTAATAGTACTCACCCAAGATTATTTTAAGAATTAAAGTTTGTACAGTGCTTAGCAAAATGCTGTCACATATGAACCAATAAATGTTAGATTTTTCTATTAGTTAACATTGTAATCTAAGAAGCCTTTACTTTGGCTTCCTTTAATCAGTATATACTTAAATGTGTGAAATGTACTATTGTAATGGAAGAAGACTGATCTAAGCACAGAGATTTTAGTTATTATTGCCTACTCTGCCAATAAGGAACACTTTGCCCTTTAAGTTACTAATATTTAACATTTGTTAACCTGTTTTTTTTTTTTTTGGAGAGGTTTTTGCTATAGGGCGCGTGCGCTCGCCAGACAGACAGAGAGACATAGAGACAGAAAGCGAGAAATCACCCCCCAGGGGGGATGGTCACGCCGCAATCCCTTCTCCTCCATTCTCCTCTCGGGATCTTGGGCACGCACGCACACGCGCCCGGCGTGAGATTTAAGCCACCGGGTCCCAGACGCGAACCGCGGTCGACTACGTGGGAGTCCAGCGACATAGCCATTACGCTAACTGCTGGTTCCCTTAACCTGTTTTCTTTACATGGGAATTGATATAATTGGGCCAGATCATCTCTAAGGGTCTTTTCAGTGCCAAATTACAAGTTTTGGAGAAGAGAAACTTTTATATTAGGGAAGCTTTAAAAAACACACATAAATGCAATTTCAGTGCTTTTGTTTTTCTGCTGTAATGGGCCTTGGTTTCAAGGCAGAGCTGGACATTTTCTATTGCGTTTACACACACTGTATGATGTCCGATTCAGAGCAAGCACTTAATTCTTATGAACTAAAAAGAGAATTGATATAGAGTATACAAGAACTTAAAGAAGAAACAAAGGCCTGTAAGTTTTAGTTGGACCCTAATGCACTTATATTAGGTTGTTGGGAAAGTCATGATATGTTTCTGTTTTTCTATGTAAAAATGCATCATGACTTTCCCAATGATCCAATAATACAGTTGTAATCTTAGTACTTTATGGAAGTTCTGCATTATATCGTTCTGACTGGCAAAACAGTTGAACAGTACTCAGATATACTGAATTATTTACTTAGGGAAATTCAAGTTAAATATTTTAAATTCTTGCATCTAATAATTTAGCTTTTTGGGGAATAAGTTTAAATAATTATTAATTACAGGAGAGGGTGATATTTTTGTATTTACAGATTGTCTTACTTTTGGTTCCCTCAGAAGAAACAGATGAAAATGATTTGATCCTGGAGGTCACTGCAGGAGTTGGGGGTCAAGAGGCAATGTTATTTACTTCAGAAATATTTGATATGTATCAGCAATATGCTGCATTTAAAAGATGGAATTTTGAAACCCTGGAATATTTTCCAAGTGAAATAGGTCAGTAAACTGTTCAATTTGTTTTGAGTAAAACATTTACTTATCTGTGCACCCTAGGAAGAAAGTTGGAAATGCCATGACTGAGATTTAGGTCTTCTGAGGATGTGTAAGTAGTTTTATACTTACCATCCAAGAATTATGAATGTAAGTATACCAGGTTTAAAATGTAAGATATAATGGCCAGTCCTTCAATAACCTTAATCACTGAGTGACCAATGGCCTTTCAAAGTGGTTTTTTCGAGTGTTATTGATGTCAGTTCATTAGCACTTTAAATGCATTATATTTCTTTATTGCAAGCACTATAGATTTTTTTCTTCTTGAGTCTGAGATTCGACTCGCAGAGTCACCTATGCGGCATCTAGCCATCTTAACTACCATGCCACCTGGCTGGCTAGCGATATATCAACAGATTATTAAGTCACTGACTCTCATACACTTGCTAAACATTATTAATGTTTTACAGTCTCTATCCTATACTCTTGTAGCTTTTAAATCTATTTCAAGAGAGTAGGTGTGCTGGCCAATTATTTATAAATAGTAGGAATAATAAAGTCTATTTTCCCCACATCTTCAAGGTGGCCTTAGACATGCATCTGCCAGCATCGGGGGTTCAGAAGCTTATAAGCACATGAAGTTTGAAGGAGGTGTGCACAGAGTACAAAGAGTACCAAAGACTGAGAAGCAAGGCCGCATCCACACGAGTACCATGACAGTAGCCATATTACCCCAGCCTACTGAGGTAAAGCAATCCCCTCTCTGGCATCTTGGGCCTAGTATGGTGCCTTTTCCCAGAGTAACACTCAAGAGTTCACTGAATATATTACTATTTGGTCTTCCTCATATATTTTGAATTGCTTTTGAGAATCCATTATCTCAGTCCAAAAAGTAGATTTTACAATAGGAGACAAGAATTAAGGATTTATAAATTGATCTAGTTTTGCATCATCTTACTAATTTTTCTCCACCACCAACAGTGTCATTGCAATACCATTTCTATATATGAAATAAGAATCTATTCCAATATGGACTGGTTGCCTTTATTATTAACTTTTGCTTTGTGTGCCTGGTTTTCAGGATATTATTATCAAGAGTCCTGTTTTAACAAGGATTAACTTAAGAGAACTGTTACTTCATAAACCAATTATATTAAAATGGAAATAACATTGCTACAGTATATTCATTATGAGTGTACTTTATTCTCACAAAGCAAATTCTGTTTATAAGATAGTTTAAAAGTCCTGTTTTGCTTAAATTTCCTTTTGCTAAAAAGTGACAGGAAGTATCTGACTTTTTCAGAATGAGGTATGAATGATTTGAAAAGGAAATTTAATTGAGGGTTTCTATGTACTAGTTTCAGGGAACAGTACTGTGTGACGGCAATACGATTAGTGACTTTGATTTCTTAAGGTTCAAGTTTTTGTGTAAATCCTAGGTGAGAAATGGAACAGTTAAGGGAGATAGTGAAGTACAATAAATAGCAGGAACTACACTTCATACCAGTGAATTTACTTTAAGCTTCTTAGAAATGGAAGTTTTCAGGAAAAAATGGGAGTCTAGGGTCCATGTATCATCTGATTTTTCTAGTAACTTTAAGAGAGAATCACACAGGGAGACTTAGAGGGCATAGGGAATGGTAGGATTTTTACTGCCAGGGTTATTGCATGTCAGAATATTCCACAGTTGTTCAGGATGAAACATTTTTTTTTTTTGGAGAGGTTTTTGCTATAGGGCGCATGCGCTAGCCAGACAGACAGACAGAGACAGAGAGACAGAAAGCGAGAAATCACCCCCCAGGGGGGATGGTCACGCCGCAGTCCCTTCTCCTCCCGGGATCTTGGACACACATCCACGTGCACCCAGCGTCCGGGACATGAACCGCAGTTGACTACATGGGAGTCCAGCGACATAGCCATTACGCTAACTGCTGGTCCCCCGAAACAGAGCTTTTGAAACCTAGTGGGTTGGTGGTAACGCCAGGACATTGTGTTATTCTAATGTCAGATGAAGCGTATTTGTGAACTGAATTTTACCTTGGCTTATTGGTCTTTGCCATTTCAATTTGTCTTACCTCTAGTTTTAAATATTTCTAAAATGAAACAAAATAAACCCTTCTGTACTTCGATTTTTTTTTTCCCCTCTTCTAAAGTCTTTTTGAACTCAGAAATACTCTACAAATGCCCATTTTGGCATGTGCAGTCACATTTCTAATAACAGTTCATTTCTGTTTGTGTGGTAAAACTTGGAGAAATTACAGAGAAACTCTGTTTTTGAGGATTAGGAAATGGCTTGTTTTTGTCTTGTATTATATTTTGATTCCCCACTCTTCCAAAAGGGAACAAAGTTTCAAAATGAAAAAGAACAACTTTGTATTCTTAAAACTAAACCTAAATTAGGGACCAGCAGGTGGCATGGTGGTTAAGGCACTGGACACGCCCACATGGCCAACCAGGTTCAAGTCCTGGACCTCGTGGCTCACTTTCTTGCTTTCCCTCTCTGTCTTTCTCTGTCTCTGTGTCTCTATCTGCTCAAATTAAAATAAATGAATAAATAAAACTGAGTAATTGAAACAAAAACTAAACCTAAATCTTAATAAATTGTGTACATGACATGTATTCCTAAGTGGGTAGTTCTTGCCTTTGTACAGTCAACATGATTTTTTTTTTAACATGATTTTTTTTTAATCTCAACATTTTTTCTATGTATAGATTAATCTGGTGATTAATCCCAAAGATTTGAGAATTGACACTAAACGCGCCAGTGGAGCTGGGGGGCAGCATGTAAATACCACAGACAGTGCTGTCCGCATAGTTCATCTTCCAACAGGTATGTAACCTAATTCTTCAACATAAAACATTGACAGAGATAAAAATGTAAAATTCTCCATTAAAAATGATAATAGCCTTGATCTGTCACATATGGCACACATACTTTAAAAAAACCATGTCATGTAATATATAGATATGTAACGATTAAATATGAATAAATCAAAAAATTAAAGAGAGAAATCAATTTCTGCTTGATGTAACTAATTTCCCACTGAAATAAATCCTCCATTACCAGAGAAATATATATCACTAAAGATAATTGTTAAATACTTGAGCAGTTGGTGTAATGGCTGTTGCTGGACTCCTATGTAGTCAACCATGGTTCAAGTCCCAGACCCAGTGGCTTAAACTCATGCCAGGTACACGTGTGCACGCATGCCCAAGATCCTGAAAGGTGAATGGAGAAGGGATTGCGGCGTGGCCATCCACCCGGAGGTGATTTCTCTCTGTCTCTGTCTTTTGGGCAAGCGTACAAACCCTATAGGAAACCACCCCCCCCCAAAAAAAAATTTAAATACTTGAATTATTTATAGTTGCAAAGCCAAGAAGAGGGAGGAGGGATCTAAGCCAAAGGAATGTGCACATTAATAATTTTGAATAGGTGTAGATTGTACGTCCTGATGGCATTCTGTAGTTTATAGTTTTAACTATTAAAAAAAATAGGCTAAGGGCCGACAGATGGCATAGCAGTTATGTCACTGGACTCCCACTTGGCCAACCACGATTCAATTCCTGGACCCAGTGGCTTGAAACTCATGCCGGGCACCTTTGTGGTCATGCCCCAAATCCTTTTAAGTCTTCAGTATGGTATTAGACTTAAACATGTCTTTTTTTTTTTTTTTTTTTAAAGGGGTTTTTTCTCTTATAGGGG